GGAGAACGACGACAAACCAAAAAGTCATTTTTTTAACTCAATCCAGATCCGAAACTTGATATGTTGCACACTTTTGATCTGAATCTGAATCTATTTCAAATCCAAACATCCGAAAAAGGAATCAAACTCCAAAAAAATAAACTTTACAGTTCATGAGTGCAACAGATCCAAAAATCAAAAGAAAAACCAAACAAAAATTGAGCTTTTACTGTTCATCCATGAACAATTCTGTAAAAACCACAGATTAAGATCAAAAAACCCAATTTTAAATCTTAAACCTCTAAGAAATAATCACGGTGGCTCTGATACCACTTATTGGACTTAATCGTGATTAAATCATAGAGACTAAAACAAAAAGAGCGGAAGCTATACCTGAATCCATTAAACGGATCTGAAATTTGGGTTTTTGAATCTTCTAATATTAAGGGTTCTCTCTTGAGATTTCTCTTTAGATGGGGATAAGAGAATGAGAACTCAACCCTAAGATTAGGGACCATAACCCCTATATATAGACTTACAGTTTTCTAATTTAGCCCCTCATTAAATTAGAATTGCAATTTGGTATCTGCACAATTAGCCCATGACATATATAAATACTCATTGACCTAATTACCTGATTGATCACTTTATGTGGGTCAACTGTAAAGATAGCAACACACACTGATATAACCTATGTTTCCACAAATAGATTTAGTTAGATTTAAATCCAACATTTGTTTCATTGGCTATTGAGTAAGTACTTTGAAATTGATAGTGTTAAAAAATGAATAATCAAATGCGGGAAAGAAACACATGTAAATGAGCAAATGCGCTAAATTATGCGGTCAGCCGCCTAATTGAGCACATAATTGGTTAAGCATCCATATAAAGCTTTTATGCGGGTGTTTTTTATTTTACATTTACCTGGTTTTAACCCATTATGTACCAAAGGCATGCTAATGATCATTCAAGAGCCTTGCACTAGAAGGTGGCTAATGTTAGAGAGCGGGAGAATGAAGAAGAAGAGAAGATCTTTCTGGGAAGTGAGTTTTCATAGACGATAGTTGCAGAGGCTAGTGGTGTGAATGAAGACCCATGTAGGAGGAGTGCTAGGACACTTAGGAGGCATGCTGCAAGGGTGAGGTCAGAGCATTCAGGCTCTTCTAGTGCAGCGGTCGATGACGTGACTGATGAAGGGCTTAATGGAGATGATCTGGATGAGGACAATGATGATGATTTTGATGCTCCCTCCTAAGAAGAGTTGGATGCTAGCGTTCGCTATAAGGATGATGAAAGAGAAAAGATGATTTGACTTTAGTTTATGAACTTTCAGTTTTAGTTCAAGACTAAGTTTTTCATTTAACGACTTTTTTTTTGAGTATCTAGTTAATTCTCGTGTATGGATTGCATTTGGAAGTAGTTGACTAGTTATTGAACGTTCAATTGCATCTTTATCGGCATTTTCTTAGTATATTTTCTAATTTTCCGTGAATTTTATATATTTTAACATATGATAAATAATTAATATATATTAAAAATTTAAAAAACACATAGTTCTACATAATCTGATTAATCGGCACTTGACCCAATTAATCATAATTTGTCTCCGACCTCACATATAATAAAACTGTGATTTTGAACATTGGAAATTGATATTAGGACAAGAAATATTTGCAATAATAGTGGATTTGTACTGCAAAACTTGACTGAAAGACCTATCTTTATTTTAGTTTTTTAAAGTCCTAGTTGGAATTCATTCTTGATAGATTTTACGGGACACCAGTGTAGATTTTATCTTAAACTTGAATATGAAACAATTATTGATGTACTGTTGAAGTAGAATCCAAGAAGAAATAAAAAGTATTTATGCCTTGAAGAAGCACTTTCTATAGAAATTCTCGTCAATTTTGCCTTCTATTCTTGTCTCTTTCCTGGCTTGGAGCTGGAGGATTTACTTCTGGTACTTGTTTGCATGAATTAAGTTTGTATTACAGAAGGTTGGTTTTCCTATCCAGCAATTGGTCTCCTTGGATTTATAGAAATATTCTCTCTTGTCCATGCTCCATCGTGGTTAATGCTTCATAATGTGGAACCATCTCAGTAGGTTATCATCTGATTATAAACAATCATAAACTTCTAAGTTTAACCTTCTTAGTGTCCTCTTGCTCTGTTTTTGTCTTTACTAGTTCTTGTGCACGTGCAATGCACGTGGTTAAATATCAAAATTATTATTTTTCGTTTATTTTCTTACTATAAAATAAGTCAGATTCATTTTGAATTAAAATCTATAAACATGGTTTGTTATATTTTCCATAAATTTTATTTAAATATTTTTAAATATTTTATGAAATAGATGATTAATTTTGAAAATGTCTTCGGGCTAGGAATAAATAACTAACAAGTTTGCAAGGGAAGATAGGGTAACATAGTACATTCTTAAGAATTATTAATCTTTATTTAGTTTGTTTATAATGATAGGATCTTATTATTAACTAACTACAATGCTTAACACATTATTATTTTTTTGGATGCTCAAGACAGGCAAAGAACCCATGTGAGTCCTCATTACAATGCTTAACACATTATTATTTTTTTGGATGCTCAAGACAGGCAAAGAACCCATGTGAGTCCTCATAGTAATGAATGTTATACAATTTAAGTACAAAGGAGATGGAGAATGGTGTAGTTTGTGAGGGGAAACTCCAGCAGCTTAATTTGATATGTGGATATATAATAGATGGAGATGGAGAATGGTGGTTTTGAAAATAGTAGGTGTGTGTGGGTAATTACTATGTTTTTTTTATGGTTTTCTTCGTTCATTTTCAAGATATCTGTAGTCCTGTGGAATATATATATATATATATATATATATATATATATATATATATATATATATATATATATATATATATATATATATATATATATATATATATATATATATATATATATATATATATATATATATATATATATATATATATATATATATATATATATATATATATATATATATATATATATATATATATATATATATATATATATATATATATATATATATATATATATATATATATATATATATATATATATATATANATTTTGCAAATACTCCGTCCACATTATGTACATTTGTAGGTCTGCGTTGTTTTGGGGTTCGACCTATGCAGCGGACATTATTTGACTCACTAATTTGTTTGGTTTGTGCATATACGCCATTCATCTTGTATATATTTATAAATTTGGCATTTAATAAATTTATTTAGGTTTACATTTCAGTTTAAACTATATCATTATCTTCATACTATGTATATCCAATAAAAATTCATCAATTTATCAACTTACTCCTACTTAATGGATTAATTTGAATTTCAATGGTCTTTTTGTCTACCAAAAGATTTTTCCGAACTCGTGCTTTTAAAGAGAGTATGATGATTGATTTGACCTAGTATTTGTTATGTGAAGAGTGGGAGAGGGGGCACCTAGGAAGGAGATTATACACGGAGTGAAATGAAACAGATGGATGTTGGATGGGTTTGTGATAATTTGTTGGATGTATCAAGAGGAGCTCACTTGTCAAAAGTGTTAATGCACGAAAAGAAACTTTCCAAACGGCTGATTTTCTTCTTTATGAAATGTTTCCATTAGAAGAAGATCAAATTTTCACTCCTTAGAATATCTAAGTTTCATGGGGACCACTTAAGGTAGAATTAGAGAAGTGTGAACTGTTTTCTATCTTGGTATGTGTATCTTTGGCACTATAACCTATTAAAGTTTGAATAAAACGTTTTATCTATGCCTTTATATAAGTGCACATAAACACCAAGTTATTGTTAACAATTTGATTATATAACGATTAAATTATTAATTTAATTAGAGTTACATAATTAACTATTTCAATTTTTATTTAAAACCACTCTAGATGAGATATAAATGTTATATGTAGCTAACAAGCACTAAAAAAATGTTTAATTATAATCTTATACTATTAAAAATCTAATGTTTAATATAATTTTGTACTATTATAATCTAATCGGAGTTGCATTATTACATAAATATTAATTTCTATAGTATATTAAAACATCATACACTTGATAATCTAATACTATTATAATAATTGATTTATTTATTTAATAATCTTAAGAATAACTATACTATAGTATAAACACTTAATTAATGTGATTTAATAAGATTGGGAGTTATGATCATAGAGTAAATTGGTTAATTTCATGAAAGATGAAGGATATTATTGAGAAATGAAAGTTTTTCTAGTACTCCCTCTTTTAAAGGGAGAATGATTTTCGTGAAAAACGCATAGACGATGTTGGTGACAATGATAAGGCATTCATTTGACTATACTATTGAAAAAAAGAACTGTGTGATTTTGACAAAAGAAATAAACCGTGAAGAATTTTTGTGTGGAGGTTCTTGATTCAAAATCAACGAAAATTGTGCCCATTCTAATGATAATGGTACAGGTACACAATACAGATTTACCCTAACATATCCATAGTTCATATGAAAAATAATGAGGCTCCTCACCAGTTGCCTTTGCAATTTATCACACAAAAGTTGTTTTTAGTTCCACTCTTTACCAGAAGTATTTCTTCATGGATTTTGCATTTCTTCCAATCATTTGCTTCTATGAAGAACTTAGAGTATAAAGCCAGGTCATGTTGGACACACCTGAATGTGTTCGGACACGTATAGGAGATGGCACTTACTGTGCCGTTGTTATCCATGTGTACTATCTTAGAATTTACATTTTATCAGTTCCTCGTGTCTTATTTCTTCCACAACTGCATGTCCATTTACATGTTTCTTAGTTTGCACTATTTTTCCGCGGCAATAGAAGTTGCTAGTTCAGCGACAAATAATTTTTTGGGTAGAAGTTTAACGCTTTTTATATGTGAATTTTTTGTAGGTATCATATTGGTTCACTGTCATTTTACTTTCCCTTTTGTTTTAAGGATAATTTTATGAAAGAAATAACTGCCTTGTGACTTCCTGTTTCGCAGTGATTATTTGTTCAAACTGTTGCTTATTGGTGATTCTGGTGTTGGCAAATCATGCCTTCTGCTAAGGTTTGCGGTAAGAATATACTTTATTAATTAACTTTATTTTTCAAGCATGTGTAACTCAGCAAGCAGCAAGAGAGTTTCTACAGTTTAGGCAATATTACCTTCTAATATAAACGTATAACTCATGAAGTTGGTCAACAACAACAACAACAACAACCGCCTTTATCCCAAATGTTTGGGGTCGGCTACATGAATCCTATTTTTCCATTTTATTCTGTTATGAGTCATTTCCTCCGTTACGTTAGTCTTAATCACATCCTTCTTAATTGCTTCTGACAAATCATTCTAGATCGACCTCTAGATCTCCAAGCCCCATTAACTCTAATATTATCACTTTTTCTAATCAGTACACTGAGGGGTCTTCTTTGTACATGACCAAACCATCTTAATCTATTCTCCCTTATTTTACCCGCAATAGGCGCAACCTTTAATTTACTACGGATGCACTCATTTCTTATCCCGTCTTTTAATGTTTACCTAGAAGACCATCGTAACATTCTCATTTCTACTACACTCATTTTTTAAACATGTCGTTTTTTAATTGCCCAACATTCTGACCCATAAAACATAGTTGGTCTTATAACCGTCCTATGAAATTTTTCCTTTAGTTTTATTGGTATTCTATGATCACATAAGACTCCCAAAGCACTCCTCTATTTTAACCATCCTGATTTGATTCGATGCACAACATCATCCTCTATCTCACCATCATGTCTAATGATAGATCCTACATAGCGAAAATGATTAGTTATAGATATTTTTTGACCATCAATATGTACCATAGGCTCTCTTTCTTTCTTACTTTTACTAAAAATGCATTTCATATATTGTGTTTTTGTTCTACTAATTCTAAAACTTTTAGACTCAAGAGCTTGTCACTATCTTTCTACTTTAGATCTTCTAGTTTCATCAACTAATACTATATCATCAGCAACTAACATACACCATAGGATTTCATCCTGAATGTGCTTAGTAAGTTGGTCCATAATCAATATAAAAAGATAAAGACTTAAAGCTAACCCTTAGTGTAAACCTATAGTAATAGGAAATGCCGAAATGGTTTAATACCTCTTTCATTAGTTCTTACTCTAGTTGTTATTCTATCATACATATCTTTAATTACATCAATATATATACTAGATACATATTTCTTTTCTAACACCTATCACATTATCTCCATAGGTACTCTATCATAAGCTTTTTCTAGATCGATAAAAATCACATGTATATCCTTTCTCTTCTCTCTATATCTCTCCATCAACTGTCTCAAAATATGTATAGGTTCCATAGTTGACCTCCCAAACATAAAACCAAATTGATTTTCAGATATACATATATGTTCTTAGTTTTTGCTCAATTACCCTCTCTCAAAGTTTCATAATATGACTCATGAGTTTTATACCTTGATAATTTGAACAACTTTGTATATCCCCTTTATTCTTATATATCGGTATCAAAATACTAATTCTCCACTCATCCGGTATTCTCTTCGTCTCGATAATCTTATTAAATAGTTTACTTAATCATCCTAAGTTTATATCTCCAAGACATTTCCAAACTTTAATAGGGATATTGTCCGGTCCTACAACTCGTCCACTTTTTATTTTTATTAGAGCATCTTTAACCTCGCTAATCCTAATTTTACGTCAATATCTATAGTTCCTATCATTCACTATATGATCAAATTCTCTATTTTATTCACTTGTTTGGTTATCATTAAATAATTGATAAAAGTAACCCCTCCACCTCTCTTTTATTTCCCCGCCGATCATTAGAATTCTTTGATCCTTACTTTAATACACCTAATATTACCCAAATCTCTACTCTTCCTTTCTCTAATCATAGCAAGCTTATATATATTTCTCTCCCTCCTTAGATTCTAACTTCTTATAAAATTTTTCATAAGCTTTGTATTTATTCTCACTAACTGCTTTTTTTGCTTCCTTCCTTACTAGTTTATATTTTTCTAAATTTTCCGTACTCCTACACTTTTGCCATTCTTTATATAAAGTTTTCTTCTCTCTTATAACATTTTGCACACTCTCATTCCACCACCAACTCTCCTTACCATCTAACCCACAACCTTTATATTCTCCTAGTATATCTTTAGTCACTTTCCTAATATAAGAAGACATGCTATTCCACATAATATTAGTCTCATTATCTATGTCCCATATGTCTTCTTTCATTATCTTATCTTTAAACTATATTAAATTCTCTCCTTTTAGATTCCACCATTTAGTTCTTAGTCTTTTATTCATGTTAGTTTTTCTACTTTATTTTTTAATAGATATGTTTAAGACCATCAATCTATGTTGTGTACTTAAACTCTCTCCTGGTATAACTTTACAATCCTTGCATATTAACCTATTCATCATTCTAGTAAGAAAAAAAATCTATTTGACTATTATTAAAATCACTTTTAAAGGTTATTAAGTGTTCATCCATTTTTTTTGAAAAGTGTATTTGCTATTATCAAATCATACGATATTGCAAACTCTAGAATTGATTTACCCATATTGTTGTTATCTCCATACCCGAAACCTCCATGTATCCTCTCATATCTATTATTATCCTTACCAACATGCCCATTAAGATCCCCTCTTATAAGTAATTGATCTCCAAATGGGATTCCTTATACTAATTCATCTAATCTATCCCAAAATTCTCTTTTGGTACTATCGGGCAAACCTATTTGTGATGTGTAAGTACTAATAATATTAATATCCTCTATACCTAAGATAATTTTTATTAGTATTATTCTATCTCCAACTCTTTTTACATCTACAATACTTTTTTTATTACATTATCTACAAGAACTCCCACTCCATTCATATTCTTCTCTTTTCTCGTGTGCCAAAATTTTTATCCGGTCTTTTCAATTTCTCTAGATTTTTCACCTATCTATTTAGTTTCTTGTAAACAAATTATATTTATCTTTCTTTTAATCATGACATCCACTACTTCCATTGTCTTTCCGGCAAGTGTACCTATATTCCAAGTAGCTAATCTAATTTTATTTTTTTGTAAAAGTCTCCTACTATTTTCCCTCTTAGATCATTCTAGTTTATGTTTAATATTATTAGGTACCCTATTAGAGGATTGTAGATTCTTAGAACACCATTGCTTACTTATCATTACACTAGGGTGACATCAATGTAATGCGTCACTTCTGGGGAACACCCTAGCAAATCACTCTTGCTTACTTATCATTGTATTGGGGTGTGATCGATGCAACGCGTAGCGGTGGGGACACCCCAACGAGTATATAATAGGATTCATTTTACATGTGGATCCGAGTGTGTTTTGCGTTGGTTGCCGGCTACCTAACACAATCCTCCTCCTTTATCCTGGCTTGGGACAGGAAGTTGGTCATCAACATGTGTCAATTATACTTATCCAAGGCTTGTTCCATCTAATATTATTCATAATAACATAATATCCGTGTATACTTTTCATTTACTATCATCATTTTCTTTGATAGGATGATTCATATCTGGAGAGCTACATAAGTACCATCGGAGTTGATTTTGTAAGTAAAGTTTTGCCTGATATAATTTTAATGAAATCATAATTATAGTAATCACTGTTAATAACTCTTGTTTGTTTCTTACAGAAAATACGTACGGTGGAGCAAGATGGGAAGACCATCAAACTTCAGATTGTGAGTTTGCAAGTTTCTAATGAAACCCTTGTGTGATACGTTTTTTAGCCACAGTACTTTTTCCATTTAAGATGCTAGTATGGTAGCCAATATATGAACGTACAGAAAATGTTATGATAGAATGGAGCGCATTGGATTGGCACATGAATGTCTATGATGCATGTTTTTTTCCTACTTTTACATAATTCATAATGAGATGAACGTGAACCTCCTGTGGGATGACTATGTTATGTCATTCAGTAGGAAATCAAGTGCTTCAGCCACTTTTATTGTAGTGACAAAAATCCATTAACTTAAAAGTCTAAAGTGACCCTAGATATAATGAGAATTCTGTTGGCTTTGTTGTTTCAATCTCGAACTTGAGCTTGAACTCAAACATATATTTATGCCCCTTGCTACCTCTTATTTAATTTTTTCCACCAAACCTATCCCTTCATTATGCTACTCATCAGAACCCACCGATAAAGAGAGATGAAAGCTTGTCTCGGTGACAGAAGGGGAAGGCTTTATAAGGAGAAAACTTGCTTTGGGTGAAAGAATTATGTCATTTTTGTTAAAAACATTGCTTCTAAAAACCAATATGTGATAATTACGCCATTTTTCAGTACGTTTTGTATTTCATGCCCATGTTGTTTTCCTGTTAAACATCTACTCCTCTATATTTAAAGGAGAATCCAGAGAATTACTGTTCATGCTACAGTATATTCTAAGTAAATACCATGCCGTGAACAGTAAATATCCTAATGAATGGTATGCTACAGTAATTTACTGCATACTTGAAGTTATTATTCGTACTACAGTATTTTATTGTATTATAAACAATAAAGCAAATAAAATGTATTAAAATTTGGATCTTCTTTAAGTTAGAGGAGTAGATATGATTTCTAAATCAAATGTATTAAAACTTGAATCATTTTTAAGTTTAGAGGAGTATATATGATTTCTAATTTTAAGCAAACAATAATTAAATTAAATGTATTAAAACTTAGAGGGAGGCAAGTTCAAAATGCAGTGCTTAAAATAATAGGGGGCCGTGCTTTGCATGGGATGCACACTAGTCATTAGTGGATGTTGCTTCTCAAAATGGTCAGGTACTTCTACAAAGGGAGAAATTTTCTCTGGTGATATTATTCTCCATAAGATATGTAGAGTTGCTAACTAGGTCTTCTTCCCAATCATATGAAAGCAATACAATTTAGAGCCTCTGTTTACCAAGACTACATAACCTTTTACAACTACTTACTATTTATTGGAACTATGCTTCGAACTATTTAAAACGGGTTGTATTATTCCCTCAATAATAGCATCCTTTCTATCTCAGTGGGATACTGCTGGTCAAGAACGATTCAGGACAATCACTAGCAGTTACTATCGAGGTGCTCATGGTATTATTGTAAGTGTTACACATGAACCCTTATTGCTTTTCGTCCTAGATTAAGTTGACTTACTCTAATAAACTGTCTTTATAGGTTGTTTATGATGTGACGGACCAAGAGAGCTTCAACAATGTAAAACAGTGGTTAAATGAGATTGACCGTTATGCAAGCGAAAATGTGAACAAGCTTCTAGTTGGAAACAAGTGTGATCTAGCTGAAAAGAAAGTTGTATCCTCTGAGACAGCAAAGGTAATATATTTCCATATTCAACCAATTTTTTCCTTCTTAATTAACATCATGAAAATAGTCAGAACGTGATTTGTCTCCTTTGATTTAGGCATTTGCTGATGAAATTGGCATTCCCTTCATGGAGACTAGTGCTAAGAGCGCGACTAATGTGGAACAAGCCTTCATGGCTATGGCTGGTTCAATCAAGAACAGGTTTATTGCTTAAGGACTTCAATAATGATATCTTTCTGTGTGATAAGATTAGTGTTAGCAGCACTATACTGCTATCTTAGCTCAAAAGGCCAAGGGTCAATCCATATCTATAACATTACTATCCCCAATTTTTAATCAGTAAGCATTGCAACATTTGTGCTATTCACCTAAGCCTGGACTGCGAAAGGAGGTTTCTTGGTTGGTATTAGACCAAGGTTTCTTGCACCCAGAAAAAGAAAAGGGGGAAAAAGATAGCCCCCCTTACCTTATCATCATTTTCAGCGGCACAAAGTAAAGGGGAATCCTGTAGCTTTAGCATTTTATTCGAGTACAAGAATAGGACAAAATAAAGTAGCAGAATTAACATTTGCCTATATTATATATATTTATCACTCTAATTATCTGTATCTGCTGGTTTCAGGATGGCAAGCCAACCTGCAATGAACAATGCAAGGCCTCCTACAGTTCAAATCAGGGGACAGCCTGTAGCTCAAAAGACGTCATGCTGCTCTTCTTGAACTCTATAACTTTCAGTTTCCATGGAGGAATCCAAAACAGCTTTCCTCTGCAGTTATTGGTTTATTTTCCTGTGGTTATTGCAGATGATTATTTCATAATTCAATTCATTCTGCCTATTTTGTTTCAAAATCCGTACACATCGTGTTCAGAATTTCGGATGATAATGATGTTGGTAATTTTTTTTTTTTTTTGTTTTCTGTTCAAACCGTTGATCTCAGTTGTGTGCACGTAAGTTGGAACTTTCATGTTTCTATGATTTCTTTAAAACAAAACAAGTGATAAATTTCAAGTTGAATGAGAGCATAAATTATGCTGTTCAGGTTTTTTCATTGAAGAGCTAGAGAGATCATGGACGTATACGTGCATACTGCCAGCAAACTATGTTCTTCCCTAATTACCCATCTGATGAGCTGAAGGTTAATTTTTTTTTTTATTTTAGCTACAATTTCTCGACAGTGTAGTTAATAAATTCACGTGATAGGGGCATGTAAGTCGAAATTAAGCCCAATTATGAGGGCGCTGTCACGTGCCTTCATGTGGTCCAAGCTTACACAAGATGGCAAGTCTTACCCACGGTCTACGCTGTAGACTGTATTATTGTAAAATAATCCAGAACTTTCCAAAATTCGCACATAGTTGTCTTTAGATCCCTTCCGCCCCAGTCTTCTATTTTGCTACCGAGTCCAACCGCGGGTCTCAATGTAACACGTTTATATATTTTTAAATTGCTTGATTTTAAACTACTTGGGTAAGCTTGCGGTGCGTTCAAGGGCTGTAAACTGAAATTACACATTATTCTCATTGTTCTCATTTAATATATTCGAGTATCTCCCTCCGTCATGAAGAGAATTATATTCTGTTACAAATATGTACATCTTATATATCTTATAAAAGTGGTTCTATGTTAAAACATTTCTTCCGAATAGTGCCCTCTAACACATCTATTCATACGTACATGAACATATGTACATGCTCAATTTTTCATAATCTTTTCATTGATTACACATCCATTCATACACATATGGAGACACATACATACTCAATTTTCATAACCTCTCTATTGGTTACCATTAATTTTTCATTTAAGCACCCAATTATAATCGTCCTCCACCAAGGCACTAACTCATGACACTAAATATAACTTTATTTATGTTAGTGATGAAAAATGTTATAACTACTACTCTCCCATCAAATCACTCTAAATAACAACAAAATCTTACCAATTTTTTCTAACCAAAATTCAAACCTGTAATCAAAATTAAGATGAGAGAGTAAAGAGCCAAACTTACGCGATCCATAACTTGCGACAAGCAAGTCCATCTCTGATTAGGTTGTAAACCGTGGTAGCAAGGCTCGGCCGGGGTAATGAAAAAGAGTGCACGGGCTGTTTACGATTTGTGTAATATAAAGTTTAATAGTGTGCACCCCGTGCAAGCACGACCCCCTATTTTTTAAAGCACTGCATTTTGAACTTGCATCTTTCTAAGTTTTAATACATTTAATTTAAATATTGTATGCTTAAAATTAGAAATCATATTTACTCCTCTATATTTGAATGATCCAAGTTTTAATACATTTGATTTAAAAATTATATTTACTCCTCTATACTTAAAAGAAGAATCCAAGTTTTAGTACATTAATTTGATTTGTTTTACTATTTATAATACAATAAAATATTATAGCATAAATAGTAACTATAAGTATGGAAGTGCAGATTTGATTTAATGTTTATGCTATAGTAAAACACTGTAACATAAACAGTAGCTTCCAGTGCAGAGGATCAGATTAATTTACTGTTCATGATGCAGTATTTATTGTATCATTTACTATAGTATGAACAATATTTCTTTGGATTATCGTTTAGGTATAGAGAAGTAGATTTGCAAGTTTATTACTACCACGAGTTGTATGATACTTCTGAAGTCGTTCTGTCCTCACTTTCTTTTTATTTTGTACTATTGGTAAGTGGTTTGCTAAACTTTTAGCAGTAGAAAGGACGCATATTCGTTTGGTATTATCATTTGGTTTTTTGAAGTTGATATGTCATGCATACATGACATATTTTGAAAGTAATTAAATTTAATTATTTCATTTAAACATTGAGTAAACTTCACAATACTACAATTATTATGGATTAAAAATGTAATAGATTTTAACTCAAAATCCCATTTATTTTAACTATTATTTGACTATATTGTAATTTCACAATTATAAAAATCTAATTATGTAGTTTACTAGACAAAAGATTTTTATAATATAACCTACTTATTGATGTAAGTTGCTTATTGATTACCTCCCATCAATATCAATGTAATGTCTATCCGTTAAGCTTCACTATTCATCAACTCATTCAATACCATTAGTTCTTCGCTAATTATTCATAATATCCTAATAACTATGCCCTTCCTCACCCTTCTATGAACAATTTCCCAATAAAAGATTGACAAGCGTCTACAAAAGATCGACAATTGTGTCTGCGCATCTACACAATGCTAGTAACTATAAACATATAAAAGAATTATTTGGATGAAAGAAAATTTGTATAATTATCCTATTTATAAATCAGAATGTATCCCAAAATTTCCATAAACTTACAAGCATGGCGGACTTAAACAGTAATCTTGAAGCAACAGCTAATCATTTTAATTTTCATTGATGTAAGTATAAAAGTGATTTTGGAGTTTGTGTATCCACACCGATGATTCTGAGATTACTACTTGTAATTATACGGGTGATCCTGGAGCCAAAATGACAACCTACTCCACGGTTATGCATGTAATTATAATTAGTAGTTTCACGGTTTCTCATGTAAATACGTAGACTTCAGAATTACTCATATAATTATATATTTCATATCTCATAGTAACGGAATATAATTAATCCTATCTTGTCAGTCCATAATTGTGGCGTCTATAAACGGCTGAAGATTCTAAGATGTGATAGTGTAACCATGTTTTTGTCAAATGATTATTGGTTTCGACCAAATCAAGTAGCTTAAGGTTTGATCAGGTTGAAAGATAATAATAGGATTATTACATCCAGTGGCATGGTGTGATTATACGGCCGACACTCGGGTCTGTGTATCTATATGGATAATTCTAAAATTAGTACTGAGATTACACAAATAACAATGGTGAAAGTAATCTTTAGAGTGAGTTAGTCAGTATCACCCGAATAAACACTGTAACGCCTCGTTTGGTACGTGGGAATGAAGTCAAGTGAGAATGGAATGAAATAAGGAATGGAATGAAATGTATGTGAGAATGGAATGGTCATTCTCATTCTCTTGTTTGGGTGCGTTTGTAGAATGAAGCTAGAATGAAAATCTAATTCTCATTCCCATGTTTGGTATCACTAGTTTACAAGTGAGAATGGAATCTTATTTTCTAATAATGCCCTTATAACAACATAGATTTTTAATAAGATAACAATAAACATTAATGATAATAACTTAAAAAAATTATTTATGCATATGTTATATTAATCTAGGTATGTGTTATACTAATGCGCATGTTATCGATCAGGTGTATGTTTCGTTTATATTTTTTAAACAATTCTCACTATTTCTTAGTCTTAAAAAATTAAATAAAAATAAATAAAAGATTATTGCATCTTTCATAGGTCCAAAAAAATATAAAGAATGAGAATACGTCGATTTCAAGGGTGATGAATAGAAAGGAGGCCTTTTTGTTTCGGTGGAGCCTAAAAAAATAGAGAGAATGAGAATACGTAGTCAAAAGCCATGATTTTTAAATTAATTCTTATTATTAATAGGGGTATAATTAAAAAAAAAACCTAACTAATTTGATTCTTCCCTTGAATGGGAATGGTCATTCCCTATCTTCTCACTTGGAATGCCCATTCTCACAAAAAGTGGGAATGACCATTCCATGGGAATGGTCATTCTAACATCTAAAAACTAGTTTTGTTTGGTATGAGGGAATGAGAAGTAAGAATGGCATTCCATTCCACCCCATTCCCGCGTACCAAACGGGGCCTGTAAGTAATATCAGGATTATTTTTGTAGATACATGAACTCAGAATCGTTCGTGTGACGTCACGATACCCTGGGGGGTACCGGGATGTAAATAACCAAAATAATATGAACTTCCATGTATTCAGTTTTGTTCCGTACAGCGGATCCACCTTCAAAAAGAAAAATGATAGAGGCACACCCCTAAACACACCTCAAACCACACCCCTTTTCTCATTTGCTACAGTGCACCGGGTCTCACATGAGATTTTAAAAATTCATTTGCTACAGTACACCGGCCTCACATGGGATTTTAAATTTTTAAAATCTCATGTGAAGTCCGGTGCACTATAACAAATAAGAGAGGGGGTGTGGTTGAAGGTATGGTTGG